GCTTTTATTTATTTAAATGTTTTCGGAATGAATTGGTTCAGTCTATTCTGTATCTGTTAGTTTAGGGACACAGTGATATAAAGTAATATCTAGAAATTATCTCAATTAATGAATCGTGTGGAGGTATTTAATATATTTAATATATTTATATATTAGAAGACTGTGAATTTATATAACAACAAACATATCAAACAGGATAAATATACTGACTTTATAATTTAAGTAATAATATGATTCTACAGATACGGAATATAAAGCAGGTTTATTAATCAAATAATCCAATCAAGGAATAAAATGTAAAATAAGGAGTAAGGCAGCCCAGCAGGAAACACTGACACTAGATTTACTATAATTAACCTGTCATTAAATCCCATCCACTCATTCACTAATAGTTAACCATGGTAACCCAGATATTAGGGGACTACAATGCCCATAATGCTAAGCCAGCCTTTAGGAGAGCCAGCGTTACCCCATCAGAATTCTATGCACCCAATATTTTTATTGTGTGAATCTCATCCAGATATATTTTATTACATGGATAATAGTCTAAATTATCACCAATAATGTATTCATTGCTCCTGATTTCAGTTCATGGTCTGAGATAATATCTTTATTAATTACGTATTAATAAATACTGCTCTGATATAGTGTTTCATTTTATTTCAATGAATGTAGTAAATGGGAGAGAAAGACAGTTACTGTATACAATGTATCAATAACACAAATATAACAATAATATCGAATACACTGAATCTACATGTATTATATACTCTGACTGAGTTTGTTTAACTATTTATCACCCACTAAGATAAAGTATTCAGTGGTTCCTACAGATCTGTGTTTTGATATAACAATAGACAATAAAAACATCATAATGATCAACTGAGCTATTTATGGATCTGCCTGGTAGATAGAAATCGACCCTCTACTTATTTAATTATTTTAGCATTAAACATTATCTTATTTCACTTTCTTCATTAGAATTGAATGTATGGGATGAATTTAGTTAATTTTACTCATTAAACCTTATTTCAAAGATAGATTTTATTACTGCCGAGTCTAGTACTGAGAAAGCAAATTTTATTTATAAATGGGAGGATAACATTTTTTTAACATTTGTTTGATTTAAATGATTCTCCTCATTGGAATGTCAGACTTAGTTCAGTGTAATAGTTGCTATGCATTTGTTTCACGTTCTACTTTTTGGAGATTTGGTTGTTGTCTAATCTGTAGACAGTTCTCTATCTTGCGGCAGGAGATTGTATTTGTAACGGACCGTTTCTCTCAAACGGGGATAAATCCGTTTAGGCGATAATCCCCTTTCCCATAGACCAGCAGCTATTGCAATCACCAACCTCCCGAACTCCAAACTGTACGAATCCCCAACTCACGAACAAGAAATACACGAACTCTGGAAACAGCCGAACAGGAAAAGCAATACGAACGGCTTACACTCCTGGCAGTCAGCACACAATCCAATTCCCCCAATAACGAGACGACACTTCGTTTTGAGGGTTAAGCAGAATCTCCAGTGCTGGCACACCCAGCCTGGTTTTTATTACAATCCACAAAACATAGTACAGCCCACAGGGCGTTACAAAACAACCAATCACATCACAGTTACATCCCACATATTCCCTCCCCTTATCCTGAGAGGAAACTCAATTATACATACAGTTAAAACATACTTTCTACCCAACTTTCATAACTCCAAAACCATACATCACATTCACATAAAATTACATATTCACAATCAATCCATTCAGGGGAACAACATATTCAAAAATGGCACACATCAGACAAGGGGTTCAAAAGTTAGTAAAAAGTCCTTTGTGACTAAATGAAGCATGGCTTTCTGGCCCAAACCAGTTTCAGAGTCTTCTATCCTGGAGATAAGTAATTCAATTATCTCCCAGGATAGACACAGACTCCATTAAGCACATGGTTGCAAAAAGACACAAAACACTTTAAAATACATAAAGTCACCTTTACACATAACACACAGACATTTCACATATCCCCAGATAGCTGGGATCTGAGTGCACATTATTAGATGAATGGCACTCAGATCACACAAATAAGCCTTTCTGCAGGGGAAATAAACGGTTTAACCTGCAGGGCCATAGTCCAAAGGGAGCAGGCGAGCAACCAGGCTTCTCCAGTTCACAGTGGCGAGGTTGGTTTCGCCACAGTATTTTTGAAGTCTGAGATTTGTAAATTATCTGGTGAACAAACTCAGACTGGAACTGCTGCAAAGCCACTGCCGCAGAGACATACTAGGAATGGCAGATGGATTACTGTAGGATCTGGTAGACTTTGTTGTGGATAAAAGGCATTTTGGACAGTCTGTTGATCTTCATAATTCATTTTTTGCACTTTCAGCATGTAATGGTGTTATGGACACATTCTCAGGCACCAGGTGTAGTGGTGTTATGGAGACAGTCACTGAGGGTAGTGGCGTTGTGGAGACAGGCTCAGGCACTGAGGGTAGTGGTGTTTTGGAGACAGGCTCAGGCACTGAGGGTAGTGGTATTGTGGAGACAGGCTCAGGCACTGAGGATAGTGGTGTTGTGGAGACAGGCCCAGGCACTGAGGGTAGTGGTGTTATGGAGACAGGCACTGAGGGTAGTGGTGTTGTGGAGAAAGGCTCAAGCACTGAGGGTAGTGGTGCTGTGGAGACAGGCCCAGGCACTGAGGGTAGTGGTGTTGTGGAGACAGGCTCAGGCACTGAGGGTAGTGGTGTTGTGGAGACAGGCTCAGGCACCGATAGTAGTGGTGCTGTGGAGACAGGCTCAGGCACTGAGGGTAGTGGTTTTGTGGAGACAGGCTCAGGCACCAATAGTAGTGGTTTTGTGGAGACAAGCTCAGGCTCTGAGGGTATTGGTGTTGTGGAGACAGACTCAGGCACTGAGGGTAGTGGTGTTGTGGAGACAGGCTCAGGCACCGAGTGTAGTGGTATTATGGAGACAGGCTTGGAGACTATGGTGGGGCCTAATAGAAAGCACTTGTTGTTGGGGATTCCATAATAAGAGGTTTGGAGATGGACAATGGTGGTCTTGTGAGATGTCTTCCCGGAGCTACTGCTCACAGAGACAGGAGACATATTTGTAATATTGTTAAGCGAGCAAAGCAGGAAGGGGAATTGGATGTACTTGTCCATCTAGGGACAAATTACTTGGCTTGCAATGAGGTTTCAGAGGTTAAGGAAATTTTTAGTGTTTTTTCCAATGATATATGGCAGGTTGCTTCCACACTGTCATTCTCTGAAGTTCTGCCTGTGCATAACACAGGCGAATGTGTATTAGGGACTTGTGGCTTGGTGAATGGTGTCGGGAGCAACGATTTGGCTTTATTTTTCATGGTAGCTCTGTTTGGAATGGAAATAAACTGTACAAAAAAGATGGTGAGCAGTTCAGAGGATTTGCTAGGATGTATTTAAACTAGGAAGGACCCCCCAACATTAATCCAATTGCCCCCCAAAATAAGGACAGAAGGTGCCTGTAGCAATTGTGTTAAAAACGATAAGCTTAGAATCATGTCTACAAATGCTCGCAGTTTAGGGAATAAGATCCATGAACTTTTGGCAATAATGGCAACTGATAGTGTAGATTTAGTCGCTGTTACTGAGACATGGTATAATGAGAAAAATGACTGGGACATAGCAATACCAGGGTACTCTTTATATAGGAAAGATAGGGAAGGCAAGAAAGGGGGAGGGGTGGCCTTGTATGTGAAGGATAGCATAAAATCTAGCCTAATAAAAGTTAGGGAGGCGAACATAGAGTCCGTTTGGGTTACGTTAGAATTTGGTAATCAAACAGTAACTCGTGTAGGTGTGATTTATAGGCCCCCAGGACAAATAGAAGAGTTAGATAATCTACTAGTTGAGGGAATAGCTAAAATGACAATGAAGGGGGAAGTTTTCATCACTTTTGCAAATGGTATGCCATTATGGGGCTAATTCTCATTCCTGGGCAACCATACAGTCTCAAAGGCAACATAACCAGTTTCCAAAACACTATAAAACCCGTACATGGAATATACTGTTGTACCCTGTAGACATCACTGAATACAAATCTGTGTATTTTGTTGCAGTAAAAGTAACAGAATTATGACATTCACAGTTAAAATGTCATGGAGAACTAAAATAAAATGACATTTCTTATTTTCTCCAGTTTTCTTAGATTGTAGTCATATTAGATTATGTTTCATATATGAATATTTGATGTGAAATGAAAGCCCTGTTTCTCTTGAACAAAATGATAAATAATAAAAGTAGGTTTCACTTCATATGAAAGAGGTGAATTATGGTTTTACAGAGATTCAGTCCAAATTCCATTTTTTATTTACATATTGTTGTGATCAGAACTTGTCCTTAAGGGGTTACTCTTAGCTACAGGATTTCCAAGTCAGATACAGCCTGAAATTAAATGTCAAACACACAATAGTTTGACATGTGTTTGAGTGAAAATTTACTGTAATAATATTTATAGAGATTCAATAAATATCTTATAATCTTGTTTTTGTGACCCCTGAGACATAGCAAAAATCTCAACAGCAAAATAATAATTGGTGAAGAGAAAACAGGGGAGATTTATCAAAGTGTTAAGGATCAATATTTAATAAATAATATATTTATGTAATAAAGTGACAGATCTGCTTTGAAGCCTGATTGTAGGTATTTGTATTTTTTGCACATTTACAGTGAGATGTCAATCACCTGCCCCTATCTACCGGTCTATAGCGCCATAACAGTACAGCTTGTTACAGAGCAGGAAGAAGGATCCTTTCTTCACACTGTGGATTAATGGCAAGACTTTCTTTCTCTCATTGACTGTTAATGTGTATTTTAACACAGTCAATATAATGACCAATTCCATCCTAGAATGACCCTTTAATTTAATAATACACATTGTTTCTGTCTGTTCAAGTAATATTTTTTATTGTTAGTGGTAGAATGTTATAAGATATACAATAATTTATTAAACAGATTACTAACCAGAACCTCAGAATAATAAAAACAAAACACGTTAATGCAAACTACACCAATGTACATATTACTTGGGAGCAAATGGCACTTCATAATTATAACATCTGTCATTGACCTCACAGCTCAACTGCTTCAATAGACAACCAGTCAGACAGCAAATTGGACCGTCGGACAGCCAGTTGGACAGCCAGTTGGACAGCCAGTTGATTGGATAGTTGGACAGCCAGTTGATTGGATAGTTGGACAGCCAGTTGATCGGATAGTTGGACAGCCAGTTGATCGGATAGTTGGACAGCCAGTTGGACAGCCAGTTGGACAGCCAGTTGGACAGCCAGTTGATTGGATAGTTGGACAGCCAGTTGATCGGATAGTTGGACAGCCAGTTGATTGGATAGTTGGACAGCCAGTTGATTGGATAGTTGGACAGCCAGTTGATCGGATAGTTGGACAGCCAGTTGATCGGATAGTTGGACAGTCAGTTGATCGGATAGTTGGACAGTCAGTTGATCGGATAGTTGGACAGCCAGTTGATCGGATAGTTGGACAGCCAGTTGATCGGATAGTTGGACAGCCAGTTGATCGGATAGTTGGACAGCCAGTTGGACAGCCAGTTGGACAGCCAGTTGATTGGATAGTTGGACAGCCAGTTGGACAGCCAGTTGATTGGATAGTTGGACAGCCAGTTGGACAGCCAGTTGGACAGCCAGTTGGACAGCCAGTTGATTGGATAGTTGGACAGTCAGTTGATTGGATAGTTGGACAGTCAGTTGATTGGATAGTTGGACAGTCAGTTGATCGGATAGTTGGACAGCCAGTTGATCTGATAGTTGGACAGCCCATTGATTGGATAGTTGGACAGCCAGTTGGACAGCCAGTTGATCGGATAGTTGGACAGCCAGTTGATCAGATAGTTGGACAGCCAGTTGATCAGATAGTTGGACAGCCAGTTGGACAGCCAGTTGATCAGATAGTTGGGCAGTCAGCTAGAGAGTCAGACAGCCAGTTGGACGGACATAATCTGCTGATAACCTAGTAGATATTAAGAGTTTCAGTTTTGGTCTGTTCCAACTCTCCCCCTATCCCCAAATTTCCCTCTAGAGGGAGAGATCTATTCTGCCACGAACTGTTACTCTTGTCATTGTTTCTGTTGGTTTCCTCTTGAAAAAAAGCTCAGTTCTGGTACCATTTCATGGCTGTCGGTATGGCTGTCGGTATGGCTGTCGGTATGGCTGTCGGTATGGCTGTCGGTATGGCTGTCTGTATGGCTGTCGGTATGGCTGTCAGTATGGCTGTCTGTATGGCTGTCGGTATGGCTGTCAGTATGGCTGTCGGTATGGCTGTCGGTATGGCTGTCTGTATGGCTGTCGGTATGGCTGTCGGTATGGCTGTCTGTATTACTGTCGGTATGGCTGTCTGTATGTCTGTCTGTATGGCTGTCTGTATGGCTGTCGGTATGGCTGTCGGTATGGCTGTCGGTATGGCTGTCGGTATGGCTGTCGGTATGGCTGTCGGTATGGCTGTCTGTATTACTGTCGGTATGGCTGTCGGTATGGCTGTCGGTATGGCTGTCTGTATTACTGTCGGTATGGCTGTCTGTATTACTGTCGGTATGGCTGTCTGTATGGCTGTCTGTATGGCTGTCGGTATGGCTGTCGGTATGGCTGTCTGTATGGCTGTCGGTATGGCTGTCGGTATGGCTGTCGGTATGGCTGTCAGTATGCTCAGTTGCTGTAAGATTGATCCTTCAGGTATTTCCTAGGAGATATTACATAATGTTACAATATTATTGATCCAAATGGACCTGAATGGAACCATCCGAATCAAGCAGAATTTGAGCCCAAATGACCCAAATTCCGTTTTCCATTCCCACTTTACATTGTGCTACATGTATTTAATGAAATAGATTTACAAATATTGAAAAGCAGCTTTCATGCCATGTCTTGGTGTAGGTGTAGGCCCTTTCTCGCTGAGGGCTATGTTTTAGATGATTTAACATTTCTAGAAGAATTGTGTTGGCAGAACCTCCATTTGTGGTTTGATAATAGAGTTTAGTAACATTTGGTGGTTGCAGTTACAGTTTGGGATCATGGTTTAGGGTGCAGCTCCCATCAATCCCAGCCATGCTGAGATATCAGGGTTCTAGATCCTATTGTGATATCAGCAGAATGAGCAGTGTGGGATTATTGCACCTGGAGGGTCTGTAAAACAATTTACTGAAAAGGTTTCAGTCTAAAAACATAACATTGGGGAAAGTCACTCCCTTACTTGTAGAGATGATAAATTTCACCAGCCAGCAGACAAAATCCAGGAATGAGGACTCCAAGTACAATGCACTGTCTGTCCCTGGGAGCTGGGCTAACTGGGGGATTGGTATACTGTCAGAGGAAGCTTTAACCCAGTTACTGGATGGAGATGGGCTAGACTGGGAATCTGAAAATTAAAATATGAAGAGTAGGAAAGAATCATTTAATAACACTGCCAGCAAGCTAATAGTTAATATTAAATAATGCACCAACCTATAGCAGGGGACCCATGTAGGGGCTTCAAACAGCCCACCATACACACTCCACCTTCCCCCCCCCCATCCCCCCTTCCTGTGGGCACTTAACATGACAAGGAGCAGGGGATGTACATCCCCCAGTTAGGTTTTAGGGGTTCAGTTTTGGCATGTTAATTGGGCATGTTACCATTGTCACTATCTGGTAATCCCCTAATTTGTGTTAAATAAAGAATTGTATTTCCTTTAATTCAGCAGATCAATGTGTTATAGGGAGATGACAAGTAACAGTGAATAAAGTTACTGTTACGTGTCTCCCAGGTGTAAACCCTCACTCACTAGTCTGAGCCATAGAACCAGCGACCAGGTGAGGTTTTACCTGTGGATCCCAGGGTGATGGTCTTTCTTTCACCTTTAGTCTTTGAGACTCCATGTTCCACTCTAGTAGTTGTACCAGACATACCTGCTGGGTATTTTATGTACAGCTGCCCACGGTGGGTACAAGCTTGTAATGTGCCACAGCTTCAGGCTGTGCTGTTTGGCCATGAGATTATTATACATCTGGGAGCAGATAGATCCAAACTCAGAGCAGGATAGGACTACAGACACTGCACAGGCTGCAGGGAAACAGAGAGAGACACATTGTATCTATTGGAATTGTAACATTATTAAACATCGACACATTATGATATTACATTATATGCAACACCTCCAGCACATATTACATTCCTTCACATAGAAAGTCTCAGAGGTAGATTCACACGTCATTCTTTGCCATCTAAAGGTTTTTATTTCCAATTTAAACTACATACAGTTTGTAATATCTACAACAGAATTCTAATATATAAATAAAAGTGTAAATAACTCCCATCCCCTGGCTGCGCAAATAACAAAAATAAATAATAATGACAATAATAATAAATAAATAATAGTAAATAAATCACTCAGTGATAGAAAACATGCCGGATGAGGAGGAGGTACGCAGTTTGTATAATAATTTACTCATTATTTTCTATCATTCATTGAACTCACAGTTGAGTGATCTCCCTCATTCCTATAGTCAGCAGAGCCCTCACCTACTCTTCCAGCCCCCACTTCTCTCGGTCCCCTCTCAGTCTTCCCCCCCCTCCTCTCAGTCCCCTTCCTCCTCTCAGTCCCCCCCCTCCTTGAGTGCCCCCTCCTCCTCTCAGTCTACCCCCTCCTCTCCAGTCCCCTTCCCTCCTCCTCAGTCCCCCTGCTCTCCAGTCACCCCCTCTCTCAGTCCCTCCTCTCAGTCCCCCTCCTCCCTTCAGTCCCCCCCCTCCTCCTCTCCAGTCCCCCTCTCAGTCTTCCCCTCCTCTCAGTCCCTCCCTTCAGTCCCCCTCCTCCTCTCAGTCCCTCTCCCCCCCCTCCTCTCAGTCCTCCCCCTCCCTACCCCCGGCAGATACAATGTATCTTTTCTGTCTGGTGGACGTGGTCTGTCCTTGGCTCTATCTTTGTTGCGCATATGATTTTAGTTCTGTGTTACACAGGGGAGTTTGGGAATCCTGCTGCCATTATTAGGATTATAGTGAGCGCCTAGTGTGTAGATTTAATGTCTGAGACTACATTCACTATGACACCCATCCAGCTGTGGGACAGGGGTGGGCATATAAAATGGGCCCCACAGGGCCTCCCCAGGAGTGACTGGCTCTTGGCTCACCCTATACACGTTCTCTGGCTGTGTCAGACTGAATGCAGCTTAATGATAAAATGAAAGATTTACAGAGACAAAGTAAAAATGAATAACTGATACATATAGAACCTACAGAAAGTGGCAGTCCTCCCATATACTCCCCAACTGCCAATGTTACATATTAGAAGAATTATATTGAGATCACAAGAAACCTCAGTATCATCTTGTGACAGAGGACAAACTCCCTGGCCTGATCTCCTTCAGACTATACACGTTAGACAGTATTATTATAATATACAGTCACAGCTCAGTAAAGGGATTCCCTGTACTGGTCAGCCATTCCTTCTATTGGATAATAACCGGTGAGGGGATATTTATCAGAGCCCTTCATTGAGTTAGTAAAGCAGACAGAATATTTAGTATTGTGGTTTGCTCACACTAGAACCTGTCTCTGTAAGAGGGAGACATCTGTCACATGAGTGACCATTTCAGTGAATTCTCTGTAAAGTCTCATAAAGTCACTGCCTCTCCCTTCCTGAGACATGGGTGTCAGCTCCTTCTAGTACGTCTTTAATACACTTACCTCTTCATAGTGGGTAGAACAAGTAATTGGTTTTATAACCTCTATATTCAATGATCTCTACATTACAGTTAGTTCATTTTGAGTTTAGAAATTCTGAATATTTCTTCTATAACTCCTAAATCTAAATTAAAACCCTGGACAGATTAATGACGATTAAGTGAATCTGTTTTGAATTATTGTTTAATTAGTGACGCTACCTGTTGTAGAAGCAGTATGAGTAAAAATAAGTTTTTGGTACCCCAGGTTTTCTAGCTAATATTGTGCTATACAGATATACATTTATTAACTAACGTGCAATCTTGAAGTGAATTTCAAATTTAAGTTCAATATAGCCATTCTGGAAACATTCTCTGTCAGCTATGCTTTCAATTCTGCTAATTTGGCCTCAAATGTGAACAATTCTTACTTTATTGAATAACTCTGATAGAGTATCAGAAGAAAGCCCCATCTGTCGTCTAAAAAGCCAGTATATACATTATGTATGTGAGTGAAGGGAATGTGCAGAGGCATAAACTAGAAACCACAGGCCCCGGTGTGAAAATTGCCCTGGGGCCCCCCATACGTCCCCCCCACTGCCCCTACATATGTCACTTTCACGCCCCACGCCCCTGCATGTGGCACATTCACGCCCCACGCCCCTACATATGTCACATTCACGCCCCCCATGTGGCACATTCACGCCCCACATATGTCACATTCACGCCCCCCCCATGTGGCACATTCATGCCCCACGCCCCTACATATGTCACATTCACGCCCCCCATATGTCACATTCACACCCCCCATGTGCCACATTCACGCCCCCTACATATGTCACATTCACGCCCCACGGCCCCTACATATGTCACATTCACACCCCTGCATGTGGCACATTCACAAGCCCAGCCCCTCCACATGTCACAATTGTGCCTCACAGTGTAAGTGTGGCATGGGTGGAGGGGCTGAGTATGAGAGACTTGGAGGGGTGAGTGTGATAGGGTGAGTGTGGCAGGCTTAAAGGGGGCGAGTGTGACAGAGTGATGGAGAATGAGTGTGACAGGATTGGAGGGAGAGAGGAGTGTGAGGGTAATAGGGTGAATATGTCAGAGCGATTGGAAGGTGAGTATGGCATTGCTGAGTTCCAAGATTGGGGGAGTTATTGTGAGTGTGACAGGATGAAGGGGGTGACACTGTGTGTGGTGGAGTGACAATTACACAGACACACATGCAGACAATACAAGCACACACTGACATACATGCAGAAACACACCATATAACACATACAAATACATACATGGACACACATGCTGATACACAGACACACATACACATACAGATACAGATGCACAGACACACACTGACATACATGCAAATACACAGACACACAAACACACAGAATGACACACATTCAGATACAAAGAGTGATACTCCGACAGATACACACACAGACACACATGCAGACACCCAGACACTTAATGAGAAACAACTACACAGAATGACACTCATACAGATAGAAACAGTGACACACACACAAATACATAGGCACCCACTGACATACAGATACGCAGATATACAGATAAACATACACACACACACATACATACAGAAACATACAGACACACACTAGTAAAATGTTTGGCAGGATGGTGACTTTCCTGTGCTCTAGTGGCTGGCTCAGGCTGATGGGAGTCCGAGTTCCCACTCTGACTCTCTCCTTCCTTGCGGCTCTCAGTGATTGTTGGGAGGAAGCCGGGGCTGTAACTTCCTCCCAGCTCTGACCTCATTGCAGAGGGCGCAGTCGCACTATTAAAGTACCCCAGCGCTGACCAGGCCCCTAGAAATGCATGCCTATGGTGGCCCTAACAGCATGGGCCACCCCATGGGCCCCTGAACGTGCGGTCCCATCGGTAGCACCATGCGGGCTGGGGCACCACCATGTGGCCGACATGCACCCTGGTTGGGGGGCTCCACAGAGTGGCCAGGCCCCCATGGACACGGTCGCACAGCAGTAGGTCCGCCACATGTTGAAGGTACACTCTACAGAAACATTTTTTTTTTCCTTTTACAATTTAGTAGATATAACCCAATGATACAATGCAATTGTGCATTTCTTATTTGGGGTATATCTAAAAACAGAATGTCTCTTGAGTTTATGTCCACTGAGCTGAACAACCCAGGAAGTAGCAGGTCCGGGTGTCTGACAGCCAGGGGGTGTAACAAGCTTAATTTATAAATGTGCAAATTTCTACTGAAATCTGCAATTTTTGTAAAATTAAATAAAGAGGATACACTCTTCACACATAAAGCACTTTATCAAGTTAAAGGGATACTATAAGTGTCAGGAATAGAATATTGTATTCCTGGCACTATGGCTCCCAATACCTCCCCCCTCCCTCGCGCCCCCTAACCCCTCCATCAATGTGAATAAAGGGTTAAAAACCCTTTATTTACTTACCTTATGCCAGTACCGATGTCTCTCATCACGGGGTTGAGTCTCCGTCTCCTCCGATTCCCGCAATGAGATTGCATTAACGCGCATGCGTGGCATTCGGCCTCCCCATAGAAAAGCAATGAATCAATGCTTTCCTATGAGAAAATAGCTGATGCTGGATGTCCTTATGCAGAGCGTGAGGACTTCAAGCGTCAGTTACAGGAACAAAAGTCCGTTAGGATCCAGGTAGCCCTCTAGTGGCTGTCTAGCAGGAGGCAGACTTAGTGCTGCAATGTAAAAATTACAGTTTCCCTGGACCTGCAGTATTTAAGAATTGCGTCCGCTATTTCCCCATAGGAAAGCATTGATTCAATCCATTCCTATAGGGAGGTCTAACGTGCGCAGTATTTGCTGCACATGCGCATTAACACTCGCTCTTGCACGACGTCAGGGGAGGAAGTTCTTCCCTCTATTTAGTATAGTATGTGGCTGCAGTGATATAAAGACACATCATTTATGTGGTTGAAGGATACGCAGGGTTATTTAATAAAGGGAGAGTATAAAATTAATTTCAAATTTAAGACAAAAGTAGATGAACGGAGTGCGTTGTTGAATTTCTCCATTTTGACTTGTATGATCATAAATATGAAATTTGCTTTGAATTCTAATGCTAGTGAATAATCCTTACAGTTTCCATTTAGTAAATATGAGAATGGCAGTTCCATTTGGAATTTACCCATTTTCACTAAGATTTGTTCATCGGGACTGTGGCGAAACCAACCTCGCCACTGTGAACTGGAGAAGCCTGGTTGCTCGCCTGCTCCCTTTGGACTATGGCCCTGCAGGTTAAACCATTTATTTTCCCTGCAGAAAGGCTTATTCGTGTGATCTGAGTGCCATTCATCTAATAATGTGCGCTCAGATCAAAGCTATCTGGGGATGTGTAGAAATGTGTGTTTTATGTACTAAATGTATCAGTATGTAATTTTATGTCTTTTACTTTCTTTTTGTCTGCCATGTGGGTAATGGAGTTTTGCCTCTGTCCTGGGAGATAATTAGATTCCTTCCCCAATTATCTCCAGGCCAGAGGGGAGGGATTGTGAGGCATTGTGGGAGGTAACTCATGTGTGATTGGTGTATTGTGTAATTGTTGTAAATCCCTCCCTTGCATGGGAGAATCCTTTTTAAGCCTGTTGTGTGAATAAATCAGGGTTGTTCCTGTTTTAACCCTCAAAGTGAAGTGTCGTCTCATTATTGGGGGAAGGATTCATTGTATGCTGTTCCAGTTTGACTGCTAGGAGAGTAAACCTATTCATATGGTTCCTATTCAACTGTCTACAGCATTCATATGCTTGGGAGAATTTATTTGTTTCTCCGGTTCGGTGATTGTGGTGTCTGCCAGAGTGCTTGGAGTCCTCAGGAAGCGCTAGGAGCATCCTTCAACGGAGGTACCCAGTCGGGGTGCCAGGCAATCCGTTACAGGGACCAAATGTGGTATTAAGTAAATAATCCCGTTGGTATTTAAACATGGTCAACGGTATTACGTATCATTAGCTGCATTGTATCTGTATCTCAGACCTACTGCCACATAAAGGACTGGGTTTTATATATTTTTTTATCATAATAGAAACAAGCATAAAATGGTCTAGAAAAAGCGGCAGATAAAGAGGTTTATTAAATAAATGCACAGTGAAAATGAGCAATGTATAAAATACCAGTACATTTATAATGATATATGTAAAGATAAATCGATCATGCAAAATGAATACAACATCTCACACAATCTATTTAAAGCTATTTAAAGGCTAAGAGATTCTAACATAATATTAAATGAAAGTGGACTCTGTCAGTAAGGATATTTTTGCAGCCGAACATAATTATATTTTATGAATTAAACAGCTTTTACATTTTCTTTGTGAAATGTTTGGGATTGTAAGGCATTTCTTTTAGATTGTAAACTCACTTGAACAAGGCCCTCTTCACGTTTTCACTGACATCTGTCAACATTACTTTTCTGTGCTTTTCAATATTCCCAATATATAATTGTAAAAAATGAATATTGTTTCAATATAGGCCTTCATTTCATATTTTGTACAAGCCTTTTAAATGATTTAATATTTTTGGATATATTTAAACTATAAAACATACTATATATATATATTGGGCAGACTAGATGGGCCGAATGGTTCTTATCTGCCGTCACATTCTATGTTTCTATTTCCATAAAAAAAAGAAATCAGAATACGATTCAAATTATTATTTTATTTGAAAAGCTTATCTAAAAATATGACATTGAGGTCTAAATCAGACACACTCACCAGGGTTCAGGATTGTGATTTAAAATTGGAAATGAATACTTAACATTACATGGATATAAAATTCTTAAAAGTGCAATTCTCCAACTCAGATATACTTCCAGTACAGCTATTTTCGTGTAAAATATAAAACTCGGAGAATTCTCTTTAGTGAATAATCGGGTCCATTTTATCATACCAGAGAATACATTGCAAGAAAGCTCTGCTTAGTAAATATCAGCTTCATACCTGATATGAATTTACAGGGTAGTAGATACCAGGAATAGCTCTCCAGCAGAGACAGTAAGTAAGTAGAAGAATGATTGACATGTGATTAACACTTTGTTGAATTGATCTGAGATTCGATAATAAATATATCACATGGCCACAGTCTGGGTTTCTATAGAACATTAAACCATAGCCTCTTACTAGCCCAAAGCACCTGTTTCTGATTCTTGCTGCATACAAACCTCACATACAGTGTCCACCTGTCCAGGTATGATTGCAGGAGACATTAACAGACTATAATATCATCTACTAGGGCAGCGAGACTGTAAAACATCTCAACAAATAACTTCAGAGCAACCAGAATGATCTCTGTGCTTGGAGCATGTGCCATGTGGCTCAGTTATTATGGCGCTCAATATATTCACTTTATTAAACACCTGTGGAGAAGCAGCGCGTGGCAGCGTGGTACATACACTGTACTGATCACTGTCAATGACACTGCAGCCAGCAATGACGTATGTTGTTCATCAATATTAACAGGATTTCTCAATTCGTCATATACATACACTGTACTGAACGCTCCCAATGACAGTATAAACATGGAGCACTGCTTCTCATACTATATCTGGGGAAAGCAAGGTCTCACAACTGGGTCCAATCAAAGGCAAATGGACTTTCTAAATGCTCCCAGGGCCATCACATGGCGTTCTGCTTTATGCCCATCAATGCCTTCTTCACGACATGTGACACTAATATAGTACCTGGAATTGTCACTACAATCTAACACCCAGAGGATGTGGCTGATGGTGGGACTAACATGAGGCTCGCCCAAGGTCTGGTTTGGTGGAGGCCCTCGGTTATTAAGCTGGTGGTTTATCTGCTACAAGGAAGGCCGCAGCTTCTTTCACTGATGGTTTCATGTTCTCCACACTGACAATGTGCATTGCCAAGTGTAACCTCTTACAGAATAGAATACGTTTCAGAAACCACTATCTAGAGATCTCAGCCAGGTTTCCTGAAGGTACCATATAAGGATATAAGCAGGTACCATATAAGGATATAAGCAGGTACCATATAAGGATGTAAGTAGGTACCATATAAGGATATAAGCAGGTACCATATAAGGATATAAGTAGGTACCATATAAGGATATAAGCAGGTACCATATAAGGATATAAGCAGGTACCATATAAGGATATAAGTAGGTACCATATAAGGATATAAGCAGGTACCATATAAGGATATAAGTAGGTACCATATAAGGATATAAGTAGGTACCATATAAGGATATAAGCAGGTACCATATAAGGATATAAGCAGGTACCATATAAGGATATAAGTAGGTACCATATAAGGATATAAGCAGGTACCATATAAGGATATAAGTAGGTACCATATAAGGATATAAGTAGGTACCATATAAGGATATAAGCAGGTACCATATAAGGATATAAGCAGGTATAAAGAGATATAAGTAGGAATAAAGAGATATAGGCAGGTACAATATGAAGGGATATAGCAGAGCTGTCCAGGTGGTATTCTCCCTGGTCGGGTAGGTCTTTGATGCATCACGAAGTTTCAGCCTACATAAAACCAAGTCTTTGTACAGCCCTGACCGACACATTCTACTCGTCACTTGGGATGTGCTTTGTGTCAACGGCACCAGTTCCCTTGTGAAAAGCCCTCACACTGGATCGCTTAGAACTAAGAGACAATGGAGTCATCTCCGCGTCATTGGCCTTGGGGGTCTCTGTGAGATTGAAGGTCTGGGCTTCGGAATCCCGGCTTCCATGATGATTAGAAGGTGATGAGGCAGAAGGCTGTGGGCAGCAATTTCTATTTTAAAAGACAATAAATGAAATAGTGTTTAACAACCATACAAATACAGAAAGGATTTACACATTGTCCTACTGCGCTCAGAAAGAGCTAACCCAGATGTTTAAATGGCTGACACAGTTGGAGCATTAACTAAGTGAACTATCTCCCCAGAGTATGTTAATAACTGTTCAGAAACAGCAAGGATTGGCTGCAATTTATGCTGCAGAATATTATATTTTCTATAAATCTCACAACAATTTTAAAGTAGTGCTGGTTAGTTCAGTGTTAACCGAGTTTAAAAAAGATTGAATAGGACACTATTAAGATATTTATATGATTTACATTTCTAATCTTCACTTCCTTCTTTTTTTCCAATTGCCTGGAAGGCTGGGGGTTGGAAGTTTAGATACATTTTAATACTTATCATTGAGCAATTATTTAAGAAATCAGGATTCTTACTTGTAAAAGCTACAAAGCAGAATAAGAATTCCTCCTGACACAGCGATGGCGATTATCACAGCAGTTATAGCGCGATTCCTAGCTTCCCGAGCAGAGACTGGCTGGATATCTGTGGAATTCCAGCATCCTGGATATGAGGATTAAAAAACAGTCACTATTAATGTATTTAGGGACATCAATGGTTATGCAATATTTGTTCATGTGTTTATTAATGTATTTACGAAGAAAACGCAAACATGACTTTTTTGAATATAATTAACAACCTTTATGTTATAAAATGTCTTAATTTCTCCAGGTTTTAGCCCATTTTCAGTTGCCGTTTAAGGATAAAGTGATACATGTTGTGAAGAGTTTAATTAAAGGCACTGCAGATTTTATAGGATCTGTCTGAGAATGGGATCAGCTCACATTGCATTTAGAAGAATGGTGAACAAACCTTTACATTAATCACAGGAGCGCACCCTACTGTGCCTTCTATGGCTAGTGAGGTAACTGAAGCCTGTCCATTTCTGGCCACAGGTAGTTACTACACACCGCATGCTTTATTTCAGTAGCAGCTATTGCAGAGACATTGCTAGGTGGTAAAACAGACAGGGGTAGATTTATGGCCCACTTCACCCTGTCTTTGCTTGCTATTCTAAACTCATTCTCTTGTATATTAAACCATTAAAAAATTATATACAAGCTTATTTACTAACGTGAGAATTCAAAGAGAATTTTAAATTTAAAGGGTCACTCCAGACCCCTAAACAACTTTAGCTTGCTGAAAAGCTTTATGTGTGAAGAGTGTGTCCTGTTTTTTTCATTTTGCAAAACGTGCAGATTTTGATAGAAATTGATACTTCTATAAATAAACTTGGTTACATCCCCTTTACTTTCAAGCAGACAACTAGTCCTGTTACTTCCTGGTTCGGTTAGTTCAATGTCAGCTAACCTCAACAGAACGTCTAGGCAGGATTAGAAGGGGTGAGCTTGCAAAGGCTGCAGACAAGAGAACTGCAGGTTTGCAAGTTATGTTTAGATTTAACTCCAATAAAAAAAAAAAATATACATTAATCAATGCATGTTTTCATTTGAGGTATATCTACTAAACAGCAATCTTTATTTATTTTGGGCAGTGGAGTGTCCCTTTAAGGCCAGAGCAGCCAATCAGAATGCACAGCTAACAGAGAATTTCCCAGCCATTTTACCTTTAATGTGAAATTCACCTTGAATTCTCGTTTTGGTGAATAACCGTGATAGTTTGTAATTACAATACCGAGGATAAATAAGAACCTATGTCTGCTGAAGGTAACAAAGGGAGAGAAGTAACTCCTGATAGTAAATATTCAGGAGATTTGGATCTGACAATGAAATAATGTTAAAAATCAGACGTGGTGCTTTCAGGGGTTGAATACTTTCTATGGATCTGGATATTGGCAGATGGCAACCTCTCAGTGATTTCTGGCTGCAGCTGTATTTCTTCTTCTTCTTATCAGTTCTAGATTTTCTGCAGTTTTTTCTGTACATATTTATGGCTTGTTGCCATCGGTGACTAACTAGCCAATAAACACATTACCTCGGAGACTGCCCTCTATTAAGTAACGCTTATTCCCCATTTCATTCCAAAATCTACTCTTCGTTCATACCATCTTTTATAAAATTCATGGATTCCCCACGTGGTCCTTTGCCAAAGTCCAAAATATATCCAGATTCTGGCCATTCCTCGGTCCTGAGTTTCAGACAGGTCTTATTCACTACAATGACAGTGTGGTCTAAACACTTGTACGTAGTGGGGAATGTCGCATTGCTATGGAACTGACAGTAAATAACAGTTTCAGTTCGGATGACGAGGATTTGATTTGCCAGATCGGAGGCTTTGCATGAACCTTCACAGTATCCAACCGCACCTGAATGACAAAATATGGCAGTTAAAATTCCTGGTTTACCAGAGTTTGGTCCACGTTGTTTTTAATTGTTATGAAGAAAATGTTATAACAGAATGTATTAAAGAATGCTTTGAGAAAGTGCCATTGGGTGGGTTTATTTCCACATTGCCCCTGTTAACCTCAGTGGCTGCCGGTATGGTCACTGGCTCTTTAAATGTGCATACTATATGGTTACCAGAGCCAGGAATTAGTGTTAGAACTACCACCGGGGCCCGCACGCTGAAGGGGCCCAATCGGCTGTCCCATGCATTTAGGGCCACCCATTGGACATGTCAGCAGTTTAACAGCATGACCGAGCCCCTGTAATTATGGAATGGCAGTGTTGGGAGGGCTAACACCAAGCCGCACGGGAGGTAGAGGGAGGATAAGGCACAGAGGAGATGGGAACGGATTGGGAGGGCCAGTGCCCAACTCCCAACAGCCTTAGCTAAAAGAAGGCATCCTCCTGCACCAAAAAGATAGGAAACAAGAGCGTGGCTGATAATGTGTATCAGTCTGTGTGTCTGTGTGTCTGTATGTCTGTACAGATTAAGTATGGCTGTGTATCTTTATCGGTGTTTGTTTCTGTATGTGCACATATGCAGGAGCAGCACACATTTTAAATCTTATAAGGCTACTTAAAATCAGCTATCTCAAACAAATATGGGGATTCGGTTCCATCATATGGCCATATTGTGTTAAGGCCCAACCACTACTTCACAGTACCCCAATATCGGTGGTTCCTACACTAATTACGTCACAGTACCCCAATATTGGTGGTTCCTACACTAATTACGTCACAGTACCCCAATATTGGTGGTTCCTACACTAATTACGTCACAGTACCCCAATATCGGTGGTTCCTACACTAATTACGTCATAGTACCCCAATATCGGTGGTTCCTACACTAATTACGTCATAGTACCCCAATATCGGTGGTTCCTACACTAATTACGTCATAGTACCCCAATATCGGTGGTTCCTACACTAATTACATCACAGTACCCCAATATTGGTGGGTCCTACACTAATTACATCACAGTACCCCAATATCGGTGGTTCCTACACTAATTACGTCACAGTACCCCAATATATCCCTTCTGATGAGCCAGGTTGGATGAAACGCGCGCGTCAGGGGGATCTTAGCGTGATGTCTTCATGATTTAGTAACCAGCACTTAAAACTTGCAACCGAGCCACTGAATTGATTAGCTTACTTCTTTATCATTTTATTATTTAATTCTATTTTTTGCCACCACCTTAGCGGCACTAGCCTAGGGGGACTAGCGGCAGGTGCCCTTGAAGGCACAGGGGGATTATAGTGTCAGGAGTTTTTAGCATAGATATTTTACTATGCAGCGGTCATTACCCTGATAAGGTTTTCGTATTTAGTTCATCTGTAAGAGCAGCACTATTAGAAACTCTTAGAACTTTGCATTTAGTGATCCTAACTATAGGATAGACTAATACTTATCCCCCTTCCGCATTAATCTATAGACCAACCAGTTTCACCAAGTATAACTCTGGTCTGGCGTTCCCCAACAGTGATTGGAGCTGTAGTAAGAGATATATTGCTTCCAATGGTGGAGCACGTTGTATGCTGAATCTAATGAACATTAAGGAGAACACTAAGAGATATATAAACTTAGTGACTAATAGATCATTTAGCTCGTTTTACATCCAGCAGCTCATTTTCATATCGATTTATTTTACTGTTAGGACGCTACACTTGCCAATCTACCTGTGCAGTCCTTATCAGTCCTGTTAATTGTTAGTTAGACTAGATAGTCTTGACAGTTCATTTATTTTTGTAAGTGGTTGCACATTATTAGAGACC